TTTTTGTTGTTTTTTTTTTTAAATATTGACGTTCATATTGTAATTTGACTTATTAACTAATACATTTTTACATGTTTTAGCTATATTGTTGTTTTTATTGTGACATTGTTTAGATTTTTTGATTGATTTCATTTACGGGTTTGACTTTCATGAATTCTTGTAATTAATTACTACTTTTTATTGTTTACTATTAATTGTTACTACTTTTAAATACCCATACAGTTTCTGTACGCCCATCAAGGCAAAACATGTTGATCTTTAAAAATATTTATCTTATTTGTACTTAAATGTACCTCATAGCTGGCACCAGCTACACATGTTTCTATAACTAAATGAATTTGAAATCTTAAATAGCGTTTGTTAAAAGTAACACAATATATTTGTAAAAATATTTGTTAACAGCTTAGTCTGTAATGTTTTTCGAACAGGTAGGTAGGTACATACACCCATTAGGTTTTTTTTTAATCAAAACAATACTACCGTCTTGTACAAACATAGAAAAAAACTAATTTCTATAAAATGTACGGTTAAGTTGTTAAGTACGGTTACTAAGATTTAACCTTAACTTAACCTAACGAATTATGGTAAAAGTCCGAATTTCGAGCATGTAAATGTGCAAATGCTCGTAATTCGGACTTTTAATATTAACTTGGTTACTCTTAAGATTTACTTAAAATACACGTTAAATGTCGATAAATAGACATGTTTCATCCATAATAGAGGGGATCTGGCGTTCGGCGGCCGCTCGCTTCGCCTCTGATGAAACCTAGCATGTACCAGTTTCTATGGTATAAGTCCGAAAAATTGTTCATCTTTTTATTCTAAATATAGTTCGGACTTTTACAGAAACATATCACAATAAAAAATTTACATACATTCCGATCAAAACAAAAATACTTTTATAATTAGAGTTAAAACTATATAGGCAACACGACAATCAATGCTAATTACAAAGTAATGAAGTTTTATCAGCTGTGCAAGCTAAATTACGACATAACGACAAGTAGTGTTTTAACGTTCTTGTTGGGTTGTCGAAAGGAATTTATAGGTAAAATAGACGTTTTAATATCAATCCATATGCATATTCGAACAAACCTAAACAAATATATATATATATATATATATATATATATATATATATATATATAAATATATATATATATATATATATATATATATTTGTATATATATATATATTTATATATATTTGTTATACATATATATATATATTTGTTTTAACAAATATATATATATATATATTTGTTTATATGTATATCAATCGATCCAATACTTACTTTGAAGTTCGTACTCCTTCGTAATCGTATTGAAAAAAAATCTCCTCCTCTGGATTGCTCTATCTATTGAAGATCCACACTGCATTCATAACAAAGTGACGGTTCGTGCTTCGATATAATTCCTAATATGAAATACTTGACTATTTCATATTAGGAATTATATCGAAGCACGAACGACGCAATGTAGGCAATCTATTATTTAATTATTATTTTTTATTACTTATTACAATTTTGATATTTATTTATTTATTTCACCTTTATACCATGATTCATTACAGGAGACACACAAATTATTCGCTTCAAACTAGTTGCATAACTAATAACAGGTGAATACAAAATGAACAACAATATCGTCTCTAAAATTACACAATATTAAGGAATCAAAAAGTTCAGTTACAGTGATAATCATTATTATATTCACAATTATGTAGTTTATTTATAAATTCAGTATACATTATTAAGTATTAATATATTACAATACATCAAATCAAATTAAAATACAATAAAAAATTAAACCAGTTTTAAATAAATGTAAGTTAAGTTAAGTTATTTTTAGATTAATGACCTCGATATTTTTATAACCAATTTTTACGACACATGACATATTATTAATAACACTTAACATTGTATTAACTGTACATCTCAACAGAAAAATTACAATATTTTTTACTACTACTATTATTATATGCTGTGGAGTTCAGATAGACCACGACATAATATAAATTGTAAGATAACTCTTGAATGGAATCAACAATGAATGTATATTTCTTTTTGCATGCCTAGAGGTAAAATATGGCACTTAACACTTCTCTATTCGACACCATGTATATGCATTGTATATTTATATATAACCATATATGCAAAAAGAAAGAAATGGCAATATACCTTAGGTTTAAAACAAATCTTAATATCTTATGTTATAACAACAGACTCATAACTACATTTAGATGACAGTATGTAGTTGAGTTCATTTATAAATGTATGAATGTATGTAAGCGCATAAAATACACAGATTATTTGAAAACTTACCCAATTACGCACTTAAACTATTTAATTCCTTCTAATACTCTTTATTTCTTTCAATTAAGTTTTTAATGAACTGCTAACATTTTATTGAACACTGATTTTATTTTTATTTTGTTCTTTTTATTCGATTTGATGTATTGTAATTGTAACATATTACATAGTACATTAACAACATAGATAGAAGCTACCAAAAAAAAAAAAAAGTGTAGACTGCCTCAAGGTCCTTATCCTTCAAAAACTGCTATACTATAATATACATTTACTGCCAAAGAGCTTCGCAATTTTTTTTAAATAGTGTGAAAGGCAATTGTAGCATATGATGAATTTATGGATGTAACGTGTTCCTTAACATCGTTTTCAAAGATAATGTCGAAATCAAAGTTAAAATGGTTTGATTACAATTTCATTCCTTATGGTTGTAAAATATTAATTAGGAGTTCTAGAGAATCTAGATTTCATGTTTTTATTTTGTGTTTAGAGATGTTAATTTTTAAAATTCCTTTTAGGATTATATTGTGAAAATATTTTATTAAACAAAGGACTTGCTAAGACAAAAATAAAATAGCTGTAAACCCTGTAAGTGTCACAGTGTACGATACATAATCCATCCAACAGTCTTTGCTTTTGATTACATGATCAAAAGCAAAGACTGTTGGATGGATGAAACTATTAGATCAAAATTTCTTACAAAACCTAAAACATACGTATCGCTATGATATTGCGAAGTAATAAACCCAGAAAATACAGTATGGAATGAGGGAGGAGAAGAAACCTTTCCTCGTTCCCATACTATATATGGTGTATTTTTCATTTACTTCCTGTAAATGAAAAATACACCACGAAAATAAAACATTAATAAAAAGTGGTGTGGTGGTGTGGTGGTGTAAAATCCCCTACAAACTTATGAACCTCCAAGATATGTTTACCATAAGTATGTTATTTACATTTATTGAACTGAAGGTCTTTAAAAAGAAATAGTTTAAAAAAAAAAACTAAAAAATAGAAAATAAATTTTAATAAATTTGAAAAAAAGCGTTTGGTGCCTGTTGTCAATAGTAAAAGCACCAAACGATTATTTTTTTTGTTTTTTTTTAAATTAGTGTATTGTCGTCGGTCTTCGATATATCTACAAAGTTTGAACGAATTCTGACCGTTTAAAGTCAGTCAAAATCACGCCCAAAGGAGTCGGTTACAAACATACAAACAAAAATACAAGTGAAGCTAATATAAAGCGTGTAAAAATCTAAGAACAGCATATAACATAAGAACTAAACTATGAAAACACTTGCGTCATATCAAATGTATTGGAAAGCAGAACCTTTGTTAAAGGTTTTGTTATTTAAATTATTCCAATGTGAATATATTTAAATTAATTGAGCAAACATCTTTTACTGTTTGCACATTGTGGCTGTATAATTTGTATAGAATTTAATACCGTTGTAACAAATCAAAACATCGTTTTTATTAAATTTATTCAAATTATTCCGACGAATCAGAAACAGAAGCTTTCATACAGGGGAATGAAGACAAAAGATATTTATTTATATTTTAAAAGAATATAGAAAACTGACAGGTAGCCCAGGTAGGATTAAAGAATAAAGAAAAAATGGTCCTTGATCCGCAAGCGTAACTGTACCGCGTTAATCAAGGCCCTGTAATACGCGTACTTAATACGATTCTCGTCAAAATCAAATATTTAGCATTACCTAAAATAATTACAGATTACCCAAGATTTCAGCACTTACATTGTAAGTGCTGAATTCTTGAATACCCTCGAATTAGTTGTGTATCGTAAGAAGGCTATTCTAGTTAAATGAAATATTTATTTCTTTATTTGTCACTGTCATTCTTATTCGGCATTATGCAAAGGGTAATCGTCTCAACAGAACTCACGAGCAAAATTGGGCTGAAATTGGAATCTGCGTATCTGAGACGATTTAATCTGTTGCATTACCCTACAGCAGAAACTAACTACAGGTAATATTCATACCCGATCCAGGGCAAGTCGCACATATAATGCGACATGCCGGAGTGTTGATACTGACATTTTCCACACCAGCATTTTTAAATTAAAAAATAAATTCTGTAAATCATTTTTAAACAAACATAAATTATAAAATAAACAAGTTGATAAAATGCCTGTCCGCTGGTTAGCGCTACTGAACTGTTGGTATCTGTAGCTCATGTTTTTGTTTTTACTATTTATATTCACCTACACATTTTCTTGAACAGTTAAAACTTGTAATTGGCCTTCACCTTGGCATTGTAATATCTGCTATCAAAAATAGTAAAAGACGAAAATAATTCGGAGCCAATGATGTTGCTTCTTGTTAACATAAAGATAAAATGTTAAATATTTTAGACTTCTTCCTTTTCAGGCCTCCTGCTAAGATGGAATAATATGAGTATTTGAGTATAATCACTTCCATATAGTGAGGAGAAAGTTAATTATTAGTACTTCCCGATGATGAAACAAGTAATATACACTTGTTTTCGTTTATATCAGTAAAAAATAGTTCATGAAAGTCATAATAGTTTTTTGGTTATTATGATAAAATCGTATATTCGTATTTACTTACTTTTATAGTGGTAATTAACTATTCGAATATAAAAACGTTGGGTCGCGAGGTTGATACATATGGTTTCTATCATTCATTGGAGTACCACTAATGTAACAAAATGTTGAAATGTTTACTCTTTTTTGTATTAATCGTGATATATGTACATTCAGAATGTGAAGGTAAAGTGTAGCAGTAATTTAGGTTTTAATATTTTTTCCAATAATAATATATCTTTTGTAATATTATATCTTTTAAATGCCTTATAAGGTTCATATATTTTTTGTGTACAGCCCATGCCAATCTCATGGAAATTTGTCTGCTGCATCTGATTGATCCTTAGGCTTTGACAATAATCTTTTCCCGGTTTGTCATAATTATTATAACTTTAGCTATGTGTTTCATTGACAAGCTATGCGTCGCGACAGTAGATCATTTACGAGCAAGTTTGAGGTTGAGGGTTTGATTTACGCTGAAATTATTCGAAACATACAAAGACATGTAAACATACACAGGCACACATCGGACTGCTCTGAAACATATCTTATGCATCATATCATATACTGTTGTTTGGTTATATTCCATACCTTTAAAAAATTGTGCCTACTTTATAAACTCATAATTATGAAAACAATTTATTTGACAATGTCTATGTTTATTTCTACTAGGCTCGGAGGAAGAGAAATGTCCTGAGGGAAAAGCCCACTTAGATAGGGGAACCATTGCACTAAGCGGACAATTTCTTTACGTGAGTATTACCCTTTTACACTTTTTGTTTTTATTTTATTATGACTACATCTACTTATAGATATACAAATTTCATAATTATAATAGTAATTAATTGCTATTTCTTATAATTTTATTACTTTATCTGCAGCAACTCAGTCAAAGCAGACCTAATGACAACTTTGTGACATCAGCTACTTCTATATTGACCCCACTGGCCCAGTTGGTCCCCTTTACTGAAAAGTCAGTATCAAAACAACTTCTGACAGTACTTAATCTTTGTAGCGAGGACGAGGTAAGTGTGCATAACAATGATATTGGTAGAAAATATTTTTTGAATGCTATAAATAAGTTACTTGACACATACTATAAAAACACGCTTAGAAAATACTTTTAACTATGAGGGATTATAGTGCTTTTAATTTTAATAATTTATTTTAAATTTTCATTGTAGTTAAAATGTGTATATTTGCAAGAAACGGCTAGCTACAAAAACCAAGATCAAGTTGAATTCGAAATAGCTACAAAATATTTTGCCAACGAGAATTATCCTCTGAGTGACAAATTTAAAGAGGAATCTAAGAAATACTTTGATGCATCTGGTCAAAATGTCGACTTTAGTCACAGTGCTCAAGCTGCGGATATCATCAACGGATGGGTATGTGTAATAATATATTTTTGTAAGAAAACAAAAATACTGAAAATTAAAAAAAGAAGGAAGGTTCATCACTTTTCAGTCTTTTGATATCACTTCTTGCTTCCTACTTTTATTTTGTGGACACTTGAACAGAAAGATAACCTATTTAGGTTATCTTTCTGTTCAAGTGTCCATTATATAGGCATTTGCCTATACGAAACTACTTGTGGTTTAAGTAGTTGCTAAAGCTTGAACATTTGAGATATCTATAATCAAAGTAACACTAAACCTAACCGAAATCAACAAAAACAAGAAACACCTTATTGTTGAGGTTAAAGGTCAATCGTCGGTCGTCATAAAATACATATATATATATATATATACATATTTACACTTAAACTTTTATAAATAACCCCCAAACTCCCCACTTTACGGGGGTAAATAGTGAAGTGGTATGGTGGTATGAAATCGAACTAACTAAAAACACACCACCACCCAAACACTACACTTCATCTAAAACTTGATAATGTAATTCAAAACTCACAAAGATAATTCTTTGTATAAAACATAAATATATAGAAATGGATATGCATAAATATACGAGTAGACATCGTTTCATTTTATGCTTGCTATTTATCTCATTCTTAAATATTTTATTAAGATTAAATTAAAAAGAACTTTTTTTGTTTGTTTTTTTTTTACTTTTTCTTAGTGCAATAAAAATCATATCTAATGTTTTTTTTTATTTTATTTAGGTTGCCAATAAAACACATGACAGGATAAAAAATCTTGTGAGCCCTGACTCGTTGGACGCTAGCACTGTAGCAGTATTAGTTAATGCTATTTATTTCTTGGTAAGATAATGAATTTTTTATTGATATTAATATTCTGTTAAGCCCCCAAGTTAAGCTAACTGAATATTATTTGTAAGTCCTTTTGGTTCACATTTCATCAGTAATTAAACGAGTAAGATTCGATTCTCCAATTTCGCTTCTAATTGAACTTCCAAATAAATAGTAAATTATATTAATAACGGCACTGTAATATGCATATTAGCACAAAATACTTTTAAAGTGCTGACATATTCCGTTACTGATTACATTATAATTATAATACCAAGACCCTTAAATGTTATACGCTTGTCATAAGTTTGGCTAAAAACAAACGGGCTACATTTGAACTGAGCTGCAACGTGTGTTTATTATTTTGTAAATGTGTAACATGTGTCTGTTCAACGGTAAGTTGTTGTTGGTTCCTCATTGGTAATAACACTAAATGCAACAAATCTTTTAAACATTTTAGGGCAACTGGAAATATCAGTTTAACCCAAAAAATACACAAAAACGAGACTTTACGCAACGGAATAAGAAAGTTGTGCAGTTGGATACAATGTATCAAGAGCATACTTTCAAATATGCTCAAGATTCGGATTTAAAGATTAAGGTATTTAAATACTATTGCTAACACACATTAATATTATAACGCTATAGTATAGTTTTCTCTTTTATAATGGTATTCATAATGTGTTTATTAAAGAATATAAGAAAAAATAAATTTCTTCAAATATTATATTACGCTCATAACAGTGCTATTGTAACTTTTATACAGGCACTGGTGATGCCGTACAAAAATCAAAACTTCAGTTTCTTAGGAATCCTACCAGAAGAAGATGCTTTCGTTTCTACTGTTTCAGCCCTGCGAAATCCTGATACCTTCATTAACATAACTAAAAAACTAAGATACGAAAAAGTTCAAGTCTACTTGCCAAAAATGACAATTAATACTTACATGAATATGGAGGAAATGCTTCGAAAGGTCAGTTTTTAAAGGATTTCTAATGATCTTATGATATGATATGAAAGTATTCTGTTTACATTTTCAATTTTCTCCAAATTTTAACAATTAATTGTTCATTTAAATCAATATGCCCTAAGAAAAATTACATAATCTAGGTATGAGATAGGTTTGTAATACATTTCTTACATATCAAGGATTATATTAGTGGTATCAACTTTATCCAACCTCGTAACGTAAGTGACTTTTTGGCAACCCTAAATGGAAACGAATAAGCAATTAGTCACAAGATAACATTACAAGGTCACAATAACCGGATTTGAATATCTAACTTTCAATAACGATCTACATTAACATATATAAAAAGTAAAATTTGTCAAAAATTCAAATGTCGTAAATTTTTTGTGTTCAAGGTTAACGTGACAGAAATATTCGATCCAAATTCAAATGGTTTTAAAGGAATATTGAAAAATAATAAACCCTTGTATATATCATCAGCTGTTCAAAAAGCTTTTATGAAAGTTGATGAAACAGGAACTGAAGCAGCAGCTGCTACAGGTTTGTATGAAAATCTTTAACAATAATTTATGATCAAAATTTATTACTCACCTATAATGAAAGGTATTCAATATAAATGATTGTAATGAGATATTTTGGTCAATTTTAACAGTAGCCTTAGGTTTATTCTCCTGCTTCGTTAAGCGTTGCTTAATTTTTTGAATATAGAATCTTTAATTGATAAGTATTTATACTTACAGCACTCGGTTTTTCCACATAAAGTTTACCAATTAATCCCCGGCAGTTCTTAAATCTGATCATCCATTTTATTTTACGTTCTTTTTGAGAAGTTTTACAGAAAGAAGAAGAGTTTTACATAAATAGTGTAACCATCTGGGTAAAGGCCTTGGACTTATTATGATTCCGACCTAAAAGCCGAACTCACCTTCGCGTTGTCACCGCGAAGTCTAAAACATCCAAACCGATTTTCCCACTCATGTCTCTCAGAGTATTTTAATAATAATAATAAATTTCTTTATTGGGACAATATACAAATGGGTACATAGTAGTAGAATTCTCAATAGAGGTACAAAAAATCTTATTTCTAGTGTTCTGCTGGTACTTAAAATAGGATATCCTGTACTATAAGTACCAGCTATTGAAAGTATTATCAGAGATAAGTAGTATCATTATAAAATTAAGCGGGGCCAAGTATTTTTAAATGTTTTTTTTACCTTTAGACTTGTAAAGTAGATTTTTTAACGTCTTTAGGATGTGGAGGAACGGGTGTCATGTCCCTCCAACACATCCCTTTGTGTTTTTGATCCTCCGACCAGGCGAGGTGATCATGCCTGGCGGGCCGCGGCCCCACGGTTGATGTTGGGAAGTTGAATATATGCTAATCGGCGAGGGAATTCTTTATATCGCGGTACAGGATTAGCAATTCTTATTTTTAGTAGTTACTCCGTAGTTCGGTGTGTCTTCATTAGATGGCGCTGTAGTATGTTTCTGTTTCTTTGTATGTGGGAGTCGCCACAAGGAATTTTTAAATTTTCGCTTTTAATATTATCAAATACCAATTCGTTTACAGAATGATACAAAAATATAGTGAAAACAACTGCTGCTTTCAAATTTTGGTTTGCCATTAATATTCTTTAAATCCTTTTTGGCAAAACTTATTGTTTAATTTTTAGTTGTATAGTGTAGTCCTTAATGCATGTTTGATGTAATTTTCAAGTTAATCATCTTTAATCTTTTTTAGGACCCTAATATTTAAATTATTTTATTTTATTAGATATTGATCGGTCCTCTTCTTTATGATATAACGTGATGGTATATACTTTTTACTTAATTATGAACCATCGTCCGAACAATAGGATTACTCGTTTCCAATTAGGTCAATCACTAACAGACGCCCGTTGATTGATTGAAAAGGTCCAATGTTCTGGTTTACGATTTTTAGAGATCCTCGAAAGTATATCATTAAATTAATACATGTATATTTCATTCTACCCTATCATACTCTTTCATGTATGAATAAATTTATTAATTACTATTTTTTATTCAGGATAACATGCACAATATAATAAAATATATCAATAACCTCTTTGCATGTATGTACCTTCATAACATCTGACACACAACGCCATATGATTTCAAACTAACCAGAGCTTGTACTATGATTAACTGATAGAATAATTTTATACTTTTTGTCAATACATACGAGTACCTATTATACGTAGAAAACATCCAAACTCGGTAAAAAATATTTGTAGATCATACAAACATTTGGTCCGACCCTTGAATCGAACCCGAGACCTCATATATTGGCTAGCTTTATTATATAAATATTCAGAAAGTCCTAAAGAAACTGTAATCATTTTGTGTAATTAAATGATTGGACAATTCATATTTCAGAATTAACTATTGAGATAAGAGCAATTAGGAGATCTTTTACGCAAATCATTCCTTCCTATTCTACATATTATACCAGACTACTCCTATGTTTTGTGGTGTCTTCACAGGTGCTGCTTAAGGTAACTTCATACTGTCATGTTTTATATAAAATATTTTTTCTCATTTCTTATAGTCATTATAGTGGACTACTTCATAATAACATACACATTCACATCATTGAAACATTCTACGACACAACTTTATATGTATGGGTATAGGAACACTATAATTTGGCTTATATTTCGGTGATGGAAAAAACGTTCAAAAACATAAGCTCGTTTCTTTTCTACATGATTTAATCCATGGCAGTAGGGTCAAAACGATTTAAAAAAGCATAGGTAGCATACAGCAGGGCAAGACGCTGTCATTTCTCCCCGATACGTTTTTACGGCATCATGTCAGCTCTGAACCTAAACTAAAATTTAGCCGTCGCGTCGGTTAAACTTAAATTTATCATCGTGTAATTGCAAGAAAATATTTTATCTTATAAACACTACTGCTAAGTGCTACGCAAACCTAATTCTATTCTCTATTACCTGTAAATAGACTTAAGGAACATTTATTCTTTTTTCAGCTATTGTTTTTGGTCTCACAGCAGTAATGGACCCTCCTCGTATCTTTGTTTTTGATGCGAATCGCCCTATTTTGTTTTACCTGCTATTTCACGGCGTGCCGCTCTTCTCTGGAGCTTTTGTTGGTGCCCAATAAGGTGAACCTTCACTGCTTTTTTTCGCATGTTTTAATGGATTTTATCTTAACTAATTTTTAGTGCGCACCTTGTTGTGCAGAAGTATCAATCTGTAGATAATAATAATTATAATTCTTGGCAGCAGTAAATACTTCTCACGAGCATTTGGTGGCAGTGATGCAATTCGGCGCTATCAATCAAAACCTTTGATTCAATTTACTTTAACAGACTTTGCTTCATATTGAAATAGCAAAACTTGGCCCTTTGATAACGCTTGGTTTCTAGATTTTGATAAATGCATGATTCGCTGGTTCTCTTGGATGAAATTTTAATTTCTGTCACTTGTAGTTGTGGTTGTGTTGTGTAATTTATATTATGCTTTCTATAGAATTTTAAAAATAGGTTCAGTGATTAAAAATCGGTTAGTAGGCAGTAAAGCGTAACAAACAAACAAACTCACTTTCGCATTGATAACATAAATATGAATGATGGTTGTGTTCCTATGTATGTACCATTACCTTGACTGCGCTCAGTGAACGTACGGTTTTATCTTTTCTTTCTCGAAAGATAAATAGAACTCTAGGTACTTTTAAATTTAGTCTGCTTAAGTAACCTTTACTGCTGGTTATTATATACATAACAGTTATACCTCACTTTCAGCTCTTATTGTTTCGTTCAGTGACAAAGTAAATGATCCTATTTAGTTTTTGTATAATATGGGAAGGAATGCTATTGTTTATTGGTGCATTTGTAGGTGCATCACAAAGGAGCTGACACTTAATAAACTAAACTATTTGCTTCGTTGAGCATGTAATAATTTCACTACCTTTCAAACATTTTTAATATAATAAATTTCATATAATGTTCTATTTACAAAAACAATTGAGGTAATATCAACGCCATAACATTAACCTATGGTATATACCTGCCCAAAATACGTAATATTAATCCAATGCTCAGTTACCGGCCCAAGCGCCTAGCATTCGTCACGCTCTTACACACATCTGCTGACACGCAATTCATTCATACTTACAGTGTTGCATACTACAAACGTACCATATTTAGCATTTTCAATTCAATGTGTTGGTTGGTTGGTAAGTTGGTTTATGTGTGCTCCAGGAATTCTCTTGAATTAGGTATCTATTTTTTGCATCACTTTTATCCCTCATTTTTCATCAACACAACCACAATGTGCAACAGTGAAGCCTGGCAGGGTATAGCTAGTGCATTTATGATTTGAATGTGTTTAATTTAATTGAAAATGCTAAATAGACTACGTTTGTACTATGCAACAATGTAAGTATGAATGAATTGCGTGTATTGCGTGTATGAATGAATGCGTATATATATATATAAATATTAACGCCGTGAAATTGTAGTTGCCGTCCATATTAACACAGAAGAATCTTTGGTAAAATTTATGAGAAACCCGCATTTTAGTTTAGTATCACATCGTACAAAAATATTGAGTAATTAGAATCACAAAATTGTCTTAAGAACTCGCAAGTCGTAGACACACAGCAATGGGTAGGCGCGCAAGTGTCAATGACCTCTCCATCGGTATCGCATACCTTGCTATATCTATATTTCATTGATATATAATAGTAGATTAGTAGCCAAGGGCTGTAAGGCATCAATTGCAGCCCGAGATATTTAGGCGCACGAGCGCAGCGAGGGCGCCTATAGTTCGAGGGTGCAATTGAAGCTTACACCCGAGCTAACTATTCTGCTTTACATCTCGATTGTGAGGTAAGTAGAAAAAAACCGGCATTACAAGAATAAAACATTAAAGTAAAAGTTTTCTATTCCCGCCTTTCTTCATTAAAAAGAATCAAGTAAAGAACTTTTTAAGTTTTTTTTTTTCAATATCGAAATTGAGCATCGCCGTTCGATATTTAAAATTGATGACTATTATACTCACACGAAGACAAGGCTGAATAGCAAAGCGACCTCTTTGGTCATTGGGCTGAATGCATGATGTCTATTGCCAGTATGATGGTTAGATGTACGCGAACTTTTTGGAAGAAAAAAGTGTTTTTTTTTAAATTACTTACCGCCCTAGGGCTTTTCTAGCTACATTATTACCCTAGAGCGCTAATTAGTCACTTACAAGCCCCGTTTGGAGGTAATAAGAACCTACTTACCGAACATGAGAGATGTAAAGTACCTTACACAGATATATTCCTAATGTGGGAGTATAAAATATTAAGCTTTGAGGTGGTAGGCTTTAAACAGGTTTTATCTATCAATCACTAATATATTTTCACTTTTTTATTGTATACCTACTATAGTATTATTTCATTTATAAATAAATTATGCCGAAAAGTCTTACGTTTTAACAAAATGTATACTTTTAATTACTTATTAAGAAAAATATCTGTCCTGACATAAGGGACGTCATCATCATCATCATCATCAACAGCCTATACTAGTCCACTGCTGGACATAGGCCTCTCCTTAGAAAGGAGGTTTTGGCCTACTATTCCACGCTGGCCAGACGGGTTGGTATAGGGTTTGTTTCAAGTTTTCCTTCTCTATGCAGTGCTGTTGTCCTGCTTAGTTTGCTCCCTTAGTCGGCTCTTACGACACCCACGGGATGAATTGGGGTGGTGACAATTTGTATTCTTAATCCGTCACCACACGGACATAAGGGACGTAAGGGACATAAGGAACGTAGCAACAAATTATTTTCAGATGGGACGTATATTATAGATAAACCTCATAGAGACTAGTTTCCAATTAACAAGTATTATTGGGACACCGTTAGGGATGAGAATATCGACAGGATCAAATGAAATTACGAGTTAGGTCGCATTTATCCAGATGAAAACCTAGATAATCTTCTAAAGGAAGCAGTATTCTGACAAATCCTCCTTGTAATTGAATATAATGTTTTGGAGACGGCTTATTGATAGTTTCATCCTATTTTAATAAATAGTAATTTTAATTTCTAATTTAAATTGTGTCCAAAGTAATGTCTTTTGCCATGGGTGAGTTCTTGTTACTTTTGAGATTCAAAAAAGGGCTCTATCGAAATCTTCAGTTAAGAGCCGATTGTTTTCCTAAAGAATGTCAGTGTTTTTACATATAATTAGTTATTGGTGATGAAGTGTCAGTACAGTCTGTTGCTTTAAACACTGATATTGATGCGGGACATATATGTACATTACACTTATTTGGCTACGATAACGCAAAAATATTAAAGAGATGTCCACTTTTTGTATGGACGTTGGTTTTTTATTCCGAGTAAAATCCATTATGGCTCAAATTACACAGATATATAACTTCAAAATGAAGATTTTGGGATTAGTTAGATAATAATTTTTAAATAATTCATGTAGGAGAAAAACTAAAAGAATTTACTATATTATATTGTTTATTCACAAGATAAATCAATAGTAGGTAACGTTTTTTCTTTGAACATGACGTTTTCTATCAATTTCTCAAGTTCTTCATAGCATATAGCACTCGTGACCCATCAGGAACAGTTGTCACCCTGTCATTTTATTTTTGGAGTACATCGGAAGCAAATTCGTATACGGCCCAAAAATTGAGTAAAAACTAGGTTTTCTCAGAATTACAGTCTTAGTTCTTATCAACTCTATCCAAAATTATTTGGTTAAGAGCTCATGAAATTTTTCAAGAATAAAAAAACATATTTTACACTATTCATTATTGGACACCTCCTTTATGTATGTTTTTTAACTTCGGTTTTAAGTACAAAAAGTATTGATGGAAGTAACATGCTTGATTACCAATAAGACTGACTTCATTGCAATATTTATGGAAAATAATTTAGTTTTAACAGGATTATTACTTACTAACTTTTAAACTATTGCATTCCCTAATATGTTATATTCACAGGAATTATCGCGCTTACCATTGGTATTAAGTTGAATTGCCTTGCCCTTGAATTGCCTGATGTTTTGACTGAGGACTGGATGAGGTCACAAGCTGTTAGAATGTCACCCTAATTTAGCGCGTCCACTTACGTAAACATAATTATAGAACTATTACGTACTAATATTTTGTATACCAGGTGCACGCTTTGATAGAAATTTTGTTTGTCATTCATTTTTCATTTGAAATCAGCTCTACTTATTCCACTTACAGACAAGTTTGTGTGACATCCACATGTATACACATGTGTAAAAAAAAACGAGTGCAATGAACTTTAAGTCCTATATATATTTTATCACAATGTTTACTCAACTTACAGCCTTTAATAGTCCACTACTGGACATAGGCCTCTCCTAAGAAAGGAGGTTTTGGCCTACTATACCACGCTGGCCAGACGGGTTGGTATAGGGTTTGTGTCAAGTTTTCCTTCTTTTTGCAGAGCTGGTGTCCTGCGTAGTTTTGCGCCCTTAGTCGGCTCTTACGACACCCACGGGATGAATTGGGGTAGTGACATTCTGTATTCTTAATCCGTCACTACACGGACAAATATTTAAACTTACTACTCCTGTTTACGTTACAATTACCCCAAATCTAGGGTCAATGACCATTTAACTTGTATCATAAAAATTATAATATTTATTTCTCAAACAAAAAGAGATAGTTAAGAAAGAAATGTTTTATTTCTGATTCTTTTTCCGAAACCTATTAGTCTTGAATACAACGCGTCCATGCTTGAGATAATCTCTCACGTATTTCATTGTATTGTTCACATTTATCTTAAAGTATCAAAGAATTATGTGAAATAAATATTATATGAACACATAATATTCTTCATATTGGAATACAATCACATAAAGGTAGACGGGCACACATTCAAATTATCTACCTAAACGAAATGACTACAAATATTATGACTACTAACCGGATTCATATAGTGTCTGTCGCAACCCAACACATAAAATATTTAGTGTTTTTATACGGACACTAACTATCATCGTAGAGGATACAATGAA